TGATTTACCATCTTGATAATATTTTCATACTTTTAAAGTCTTGTAAGACATGTTTTGTTGGCTTCATAGATGCCTCTAGTGGGAAGGTTGGCCATTATTATCTAGAACATAATTACTGAAAACAGCAATGTAGACCTTTAACTTTTTACTCTATCTCTATGCCATCTATCACTTATTCATGTCTTATTTACATACAAAAAATTGCAAAATTACCTGTAATATACTTTTAAATGACTGAATTCTACTGTGTATATATATACATATATATACACACATATTTCTAATACATTTGTTAATCTGTTACTTGCTGTCATAAGTTTTTCTTACTAGTAATAATCACAGAGCATCTTGATTATTGTAGAATATTTAAGTTCATGTTTGATTATTTCCTTAGGATAACTTTCTAGAATCTGTTACACAAAAGATTTGTACCATTTTAAAACTCTGGTTATCCATCATTCAAATCCTCTATTTTCCAGATAGTGTCCTCTAATTTCACAAAAGATTTGTACCATTTTAAAACTCTGGTTATCCATCATTCAAATCCTCTATTTTCCAGATAGTGTCCTCTAATTTCCCCACATATTTGCAGCACTGAATTTTATGAATGTCCTATATCTGTGGCAGTTTTTATAATTTAAGTGGTTTACATCTTTCACAGGAAGGGAAAATATATTCTAGAGAAAATTAAAAATTATTTTTTAAAAGCGTGGAAAGGATAGCACTGAGGGGGATTTCAGAGGAGTCTGTGGGCTCTAAAGCGGTTCATGATCTACCGAGAGGTTGGAATTAAGCCACACTTGTGACTAGTTTAAATGGTGCAAGGTTCTTTATGATTAGGAAATGGTAACCATTTCCTGGAGAAGAAAATGGTAACCCACTCCAGTATTCTTGCCTGGAGAACTCCACAGAACGAGGAGCCTAAGTGGGCTACAGTCCATAGGGTCACAAAGAGTCAGACATGACTGAGTGACAAAAAACACTGTATACCATAAACATCAAGTAACCTCCCCGACTTATTATAAGAGAATATATCTTACACAGATGATTGTTTTCATGACCCATTTTGCTTTAGTACAGCATAGCCCAAACATAAACAATCATTTGTTGCATATTTTAAAAATATTTATGCAACGCATCATGCAATTTGTGCAATGCTAATTAGAATCCTTTCTTTTTTTAACACCTTGAAATGCCTAGATTCCTCTTATAGCCCTAGTACAAAAGAACTCTCTCTTTTCTACAATCTACTTTCCTAGATCATTTCTAGCTTCTTCACCCCAAGCCTCTCCCTTGCTATCCTCCCAACACATCACAATTCCCTCCACCTACTCATCCCTCTGGGGAAATGCAATTAGCTATTCTCTATGACAACTTTCATGCATTGGAGAAGGAAATGGCAACCCACTCCAGTACTCTTGCTTGGAGAATCCCGGGGATGGGGGAACCTGGTGGGCTTCTGTCTATGGGGTTGCACAGAGTCGGACACAACTGAAGCGACTTAGCAGCAGCATGACAACTTTACTCAGGAGAATGCACCTGCACTCTTCTCTTTTTAGAGGGCAGGAGAGGGAAACAAGATGAGATGGCAAAACCCATATGTTCTTTCCCAGATGGAAAAGGGAAGGCTGTTAATTACTGCCCCTCCAAAACACACACACATGCAAACATACACCCCACTACCACTGTTAAAATTTTATTTTTGGCTATGCTGTGCATTACTTTGCCAACAAAGGTCTGTATAGTCAAAACTATGGTTTTTTCCAGTAGTCATGTATGGATGTAAGAGTTGGACCATAAAGAAGGTTGAGCGCTGAAGAACTGATCCTTTTGAACTGTGGTGTTGGAGAAGACTCTTGAGAGTCCCCTGGACTGCAAGGAGATCAAACAAGTCAATCCTAAAGAATATCAATCCTGAATATTCATTGGTAGGACTGATGCTGAAACTGAAGCTCCAATACTTTGGCCACCTGATGCAAAGAGAGGACACATTAGAAAAGACCCTGATGCTAGGAAAGACTGAAGGCAGAGGAGAAGAGGACGAAAGAAGATGAGATGACTGGATGGCATCACCAACTCAATGGACATGAGTTTGAGCAAGCTCTGGGAGATGGTGAAGGACAGGAAAGCCTGGCATGCTGCAGTCCATGGCGTCACAAAGAGTTGGACATAACTGAGTGACCGATTAGCAACAACAAATTCCATGCATCGTGTGGGATCTTAGTTCCCTGACCGGGGATCGAACCTGTGCCCCTGCAGTGAGAGCGCAGTCTTAACCACTGCACCACCAGGGAAATCCCCTCACTATCACTTTTGCCCAGGCCTATATATCAAAGGATAAACTCCTTATCAGAGATTTTTAAGACCCTGAAATTTAATGACCATGCCAGTGTGCCCTTGTTTTAAGCAAAAAGTAATGTATAAAAATATTCATTAGTCAAAATTAAATTATACACTGTTATTCACTTTACACAGGGTACTTCATATATTTCCTTCAAGTAGATAGCTTCCCTGATAAAATTATAACTTAAATCCAGATATAGAATAAATATATCTGTGACTTTAGAAACACCAATAATAACAAAACTGAGTTGCCACTCCAAGAGATTAATCTATAAATATATGTATCATACTGTCACATCATATACTTGACCCATATAAATGGAGCTTTAAAGAATTCCCATAGTTATAGAATAATTTTCTCTTCTGGGATTTAGAAACTTCTAAACATTGAAATTTCATCACATATTTGAATGTATAAGAATACAGATGACTGTGGTATAGAACCCCTGATACCACTGGTTATAACGTATATTCAGAGTCCTACCACAATGGCACAGTAATTTTAAAGTTTTAAAAGGTTATTATCATCGTCATCATTACAGATCTTAGCATATCACCAAATTTATCAGGTGACTGTGCAGAAACTGTGTTTTCCCCTGTATTTGTGCAGAGGTGGGATCCTTGATGAAATGTTGAATAGGGAAAACAGAAGCCTTCACTTTGGTGTTGACTCTAAAGCACTATTTTAATGAGTTAGTGGTCTTGTTAGGCAATAGGCCAAAATCTACTAAAAGAAAAACAAATAATCATTTTCACTAGATATCAATTTTTTTCAGTAATTTTGAAATTTAATATTTTCTTTTCATCCCCACAAAAAAAGATGCAAATACTTTTGAGAACTGTTATTTTTTTTTTAATGCAAGATTTCTCTTGAAGACAATTTTCAGGTAGAATTGTTGGTTTATAAAAACTGTCTACTCTGCAGTGTCATCTGGCATTTTCATTAAAGACTTTATTAATCTTGGCTACAGAATGTACGTAGTTCTTACTGCCATTGCCATTTTACTGCCTCTATCTCAGTGAGGTCAGGTCAAGACCTTTGTTCAGTTATCTTCCCACAGGGGTACCTAGCAGAGGGCTTTTGACAACATAGGAGTCTAAAATATTTTTCTCAACTGTGCTGAATCACTAATTTGGGGAATACTAACCATGTTACTTATAAATTTATGTTAATAGTATTTTAATTGAACCACAGAACTAGAAATAATACCCCTAAGAGTTAAATTATTGTCCAAGGTCAATAGCCAATCAATGGCAGAAATAGATCCAAATTCCAAATTTGCTAATGCTCAACACAACATTCCTTCTTTAAGCAAGGTTTTTTGAAATAAAATCTACTCATATATTAATTACAAGAATTTGAAATTTACTTTAAAAGTTTTAAATTAGGGGGACTCAATTTTATTGTTGTATTTACACTTAGTAATCGTAGCACTGTCTTGATACTTTTTCCCTTCACTTTTTTTACACTCCTACATAAAGTAATTCCCAGGCAATTTCAATATTTTAAAACATTTTGCTTTCCTAAATTTCATTAGTAGAGGGTTAAAAACTGGGTATCTATGATGACACTGATGCTACAGTAAGAGAATCAAATGAAGGACACTAGAAAGAGCCAGTGATATTTTCTCCAGTCTGGTCTTCCTCATTCCACACAAACAAGGGTGCTTTCATGGCTTCAAGATTTTCTCCTCCATCAGACTGAATTACATTAACTTGTATTTATAAAACATTTTACAGTATAGGAAGAACATAGTGCCTGGCATCAAGTAGATGCTGAACGAATATTGAATATGACCTATGTGGGTGGTATCCTTTACCACCTTTATCTCATTGAATCTTCAACTCTATGAATATTCACATCAACTTCATGAAGCAGGATTGTATATACTTACTTTACAAATGAGTCTGTGTATATCAGAACTGAGATTTAATTCAAATTAGCATATCCCAAAGTTCTCTCTCTCTAGTAAATTTGGATATGAATAGCTCATAAGACAATATGTGTAAGTCACATTTTCACCTTAAAACATACATGGCATGCAGTTGTAGAGATTGTGTTTATCATTCATTTTAGTCAGAGTAAATGCAAGACATATTCTAATAGATTATTGAAGAGAGTTTAGTAAAAGAACAATGCACAGGATGTGGACAGTTAATAAAGAGAAGCCAACCAACAGGTGATGATTAAGGACCTAGGGTGCTGGCTAGAGTAGGCGGGGAGCTATCATCATCACTTGCCTGAAAGGCAAAAGGGAAAAGATGGCGATTCCACCCCTTGAGCAACCACAAGTCAAGTGAAGAGAATTCTTTTGAATTTGGGGTTACCTGCACAGAGGAGAAACGGCGCCTAATTTCCCGTGGACAACACTGCTGGGGATATGCCTTCTGTGTCTACCTGGTTAAAACAACTGAACTGGCGACAGACAGTGGTAAAGAGGCTCTATTTATCCAGATAGAAACTGTAGAATACTCATGCTGGAGTTGCCTCACTCATATCATAAACAACAGGAGAACAGCAACAAGAGAATACGGGGGGCACCCTAGAGTGAGACTCAGCGGAGCTCTTGAACCATTCACACCTGCACCCCAGATGAGAGAGCCAGCTTTGGAATGCAGGTGTAAGTGTCTGATCTGTTTCCTATTTCTCCTCCCAGGCTCTGCTGTGAGAGGAGGAAGGTAAACCCAGAAAAGGAGCGGACAGAACGAGAAAGGGAGAAGAAGGGAAAGAACAGGACCCATAAGCAACTTCCCGGCGCAGTCTCCTCAGACCTTTAAACAAGCACAAGACACAGAGGGAAACTGCTATTTGGCATGTGGTTGAACCTCCGTCATCCTAGAATGGAATCAATTTTTCAATACTGGAATGGATGAAAGGCTGACATATATACACTGCTGTGAGTAAAACAGCTGCTGGGAAACTACTGTACAGGGCAGGGAGTCACTTTGGGGCCCTATGGTGACCTAGAGGGCTAGGATAAGGGGGTGGGGGGAAGGTCCAAGAGGGAGGGGTTATATGTATACTTAGAGCTGATCCATTTCATTGTACACCAGAAACTAACACAACAGTGTAAAGCAACTATAGCCCAATTTTTAAAAAATTTTAAGTTATGGAAACAATCTAAGATAATTTTATGAGGTCTGGAAAGAATGACTTAACAGAGCATAGTTGAAAGTAGCAATTGGAAAAAAATAAATTTATTTCATACTTATACCCCTGGTAACTCAGCTGGTAAAGAATCTGCCTGCAATTCAGGAGACCCCGATTCAATGCCTGAGTCAGGAAGAGCTGCTGGAAAAGGGATAGGTTACCTACTCCAGTATTCTTGGGCTTCCCTGGAGGCTCAGCTGGTAAAGAATCTGCCTGCAATGTGGGAGACCTGGGTTCAATCCCTGGGTTGGGAAGATCCCCTGGAGAAGGGAACAGCTACCCACTCCAGAATTCTGGCCTGGAGAATTCCATGGACTGTATAGTCTATGGGGTCACAAAGAGTTGGACACAACTGAGCACCTTTCACTTCACTTCACTTCACTTTATACGCCACCAGGATGAACCTGCCTAATAAACCAGTTACCTATATAAGCACTGAGCACCATCACATACATATTTGACAACGGTACTGCAAAGAATTAACTATAAATAACTTTCAGCCTTGTCAGCCTTACATTACCAATAAGAATAGTCACAGAGTCAGACATGACTGAAGCACACAGCACAAGAAAACTGACCACATAGACTCATTTTAATAGGAAATCATGTTTTACCATGTATCACAAAATGTACTTAAGTATAATTTACTGTTTGTTATCAAATACATATAGACCTCTATCTTTTAAAAGAGAAGTCCATTTTTGTTTCACTCCCTTTGTAAATATCACAGTCATAGAGACAGGAATACACATCTCAATTTCCTTTCAACTTTTGACTTGTTTTCACATCTCTCACAGATTTTCAGTAAGCTTAAAAATAAGCATTTGTTAACGTTTTCCACAAGGTTAAATTCTTCACTCCCTTCTATTTCCAGTGCTTTGAAGACTAAGCGAGAGAACAGAAACATATCCACCAGCCTCTGCATCTAGTCACTAAGAATAGTCCAGCAAAGAACTCTTAAAATATGACTCATCCACCCTAAAGTTAAAAGTATATCTAATTCTTCCATTTAGGAGTTGGTTTGAACTGCTTATCTTCAGCTGTGAGGATTAAAAGCATCCAATTTTTTCACTTCATAGCTTTCAGCAGCAACATTGAATCAAGTCTGTACATCACTACGTAATCCTTTATATTAAAACTTGTATTAATCTTTTTGAAAGCATCGGTAATACAATGTCCGTCTCATATTTTTCCAGGTAATTATGAAAAGGTTGTTTAAAAAGAAGGAAACAATTTCTTCTCCCTCCTCTTCCCCCAGATGAATAAATATCCCCCCTAAGTATTCACATCTCCAACTTTGTTTTCAGTATCCTTGACTACAGGTGTCCCAGTGGTCACTGTTTCTTTGGAATTTTCCTTCTCCTCATAAAACATGACCTTCCTATTTCTTCAGCTGTGGTTTCCCTCCTTCCCATTTCCTTTGCCCTCCTCTTCCCCTGCCCTTTCCCCCTCATCTCCCCTCCCCCCTTTTTTTTTGGTCATGCAGCATTTGGGATATTAGTTCCCTGATCAGGGATTGAACCCATGCCCCCTGCATGGGAAGCATGGAGTCTTAATCACTGGACATCAAGGAAGTCCTTCCTTTCCTATTCTTAACTCATAAAGCTTACTTTGACTTTTTTTTCTCTTCTTTCTGTATATTCTATTTACCCATTTGTGCAGGTTCAGCTACCATACGCATGTTGGTAGTTCCCAAAGTTTACAATTCCCATCTCAGCGTTTCATACTTTTCCATCAGCTATGTCAGACAGCATGTCTCGTGAAGTCCGTGACATGTAAGTAAGTCTTAAACCCAGTCAAATGACCCCACCATTTAACTGGCATCCTAAGTCTCCCCTAGTCAATCAAATGTTGGCCCCGCCCCACTTTGTGCATTTCTATTTTCCTCTTCCTTTCTCTAGAAACCTCCCAAGAGCAGAACTTCATCTTCATACTAGGATTACTGTGAAGCCCCCAGTTATCTGCTAAATCTTTAGCCTCAGAGCCTGTCATTCTATCCTGCACACAGATGCCAGGATTATCTTCCTCAAACACTATTTTCATCATGCCAGTCTCTTAGAATCACTTTCTCTTGCCTGGCATCTCATCTAAATCCCTGAGGCTGGCATCTAAGGCCCTTCATCAACAGTGCCCACAGTACCCAAATTTTCTAAACAAACATCTCATTACTCTTTAACTTACTATTGCTTTAGCTTCATCAAGTAAACCATCACTTCCTGCATGTATCTTAATCATCCCCCTTAAGTGCTTTTTTTTTTTCACAACCTCAAATTTCCACCTTTGTCCTTTTTACTGGACCATGCTTATTACTGGCCTTCCTTACTATCTTTAACCATATAATTACTGCAGGGTTGTCAGTTTGAGACTAAAAAATTTTCTCTACTTCTCATCTAGCCTATTTTTGGATTTTCCTTGGGGGTCTCATGCATAGCTGTCATTAGACGTAACTTCTATATATTGCTGACAATCCCATATCATTTTTCAAATAAACTGTCAGCCTAAATGTAAACAAACTATGTGTAATTTCAGATGGATTAACTAACCCTTAATATGCTGAGTTCATTCATGAATTTAACAAACATTTATTGAGCATCTACCACATGTTAGCAACTAATGCTAGTGGCTAGAAATGAAAAGATATGTATTTTTAACATAAAAATACAATCAGTAATTTGAAAAGTTCCTTAAAAATTGTTTTCCCATCCATGAGCCAGCACTAGTCATTTTTGAAGTTTGATTATCACTTGGTCATTTAAATATATACCTTTTATATCTAGGAGTCATTTTCTGAGAGTTGAAATAATTTCTTCATTCAATAAATATTTATTGAGTACCTACTAGGTGCTGAAAGCTTGCATAAATAAATTCCATGATGAGGAGAATTTTTTGTTATCTTGTATCCTCTGTTAGAGGAAATACATTTTAGATCATGAAAAATGTTGACAAAGTACACAAGGGCATGGAATTCTTGCTTTCAGAAGCATTAGAATTACTCTCCAAATTTAATAATAACATACTACACGTGTCAATGACCCAAATGGCTCCAGCTGCTTCCTATTATGTGGTGTCTCAATTTTCATACATAATATATATGATGACAAGGTTTTTTCATCTCTTAATAGCATGTGTTGGAAGAAGACTAAATAACTTCTTCAGTCTTCTAACAAAACTGTTAGGAGGCAGAATCCTGTTGGAGACCCTTTCCTCTCTTAGTGACCTTGTCTCTGAGATGGGTCTTTCCAAGAAGATCACTCAGACATGAGTAGCAAACACTACAGATATTTCATAAATCAACTGTTTACAGAATATATGTTTCTAAAGTGTCAAGAAAGTGTTCAGCTGCCTGTTTGAAATTGTGAACTAACTATAAAACAAAATCAAGGGCTGAGCCACATTTTGTTGGGCTTGAAGCTTATACAATATTGGGAGACCCTTTAGAAGAAATACAGAAATGCAAAGACAAAATGAGGTTATGCATAATCACAAAAGTGATTATTTAGAATAAGAAAATCAACCATTGAAATTACTACAGATGCATGGTCCTTTTCTTCAGAGATTTTTTTTTACCATTTACCAGAAATACAAAAAGAGAAATGCTTCCAGATACCAACCTGGATTCTCCCCTCTATCAAAAACTCACAATAACTCCCAGAAATGTTGGGTTTCCCCGGTGGCTCAAACAGTAAAGAATCTGCCTTCAATGCAGGAGACCTGGTTTCAATCCCTGGGTTGGGAAGATCCTCAGGAAAAGGGAATGCCAACCCACTCCAGTATTCTTGCCTGGAGAATTCCATGGACAGAGGAGCCTAGCAGGCTACAGTCCATGGGGTCACAAAGAGTAGGATACGACTGAGCAACTAACATAGGTACAGTGGTAAAGAATCTGCCTGCCAGTGCAGGAGGCACAAGAGACTCGGTTTTGATCCCTGGGTGAGGAAGATCCCCTGTGGTAGGCAATGGCCCTCCACTCCAGTATTCCTGCCTGGAAAATTCCATGGGCAGAGGAGCCTGTCAGGCTACAGTCCATAGGTTTGCAAAGAGCAGGACACGGCTGAGCATGAGCACAGGTGAGGTAACCTGAAGCTTTAACTGACAAGCTGTATGGTAAACTCCGGGAGCTGGGGATGGACAGGGAGGCCTGGCGTGCTGCAGTCCATGGGGTCGCAAAGAGTCAGACACGACTGAGCGACTGAACTGAACTGAACTCAACTGATGGTCAATTTACTTCTGCACAGTTAAACCAAACAAATGAACAAACAAAACCTTAATAGTGTTTTACACGGTTTCTTCTATCTTAGTCTTGGCCTTCTCCAATTAAGCTTCTGGCTTTTTCTGGGTTTCCTATGATGGGATCATCTTTATTAAGTAAGACAATATTTAGGATGCACACATGATATCCAGGGACTATTGGATACGGGTCTCTACAAAGCAGTCACCATTTTCTCTTGTTTCCCATCCTGCAGGGGAGATCAGCATGAAAACTATGCAACCCTCATTTTTGCTCCCCCAGATTCAGTCTGCCTCATCTGGACTAGCATCCAAGGGTTTCAACCTTTTGTTTGCTTTCTTTATCTTCTTGAGCTTCTCTCCATGTTCACCATCAGCATGACACTCAGGGCCACATCCTCCCTGGACTAAACAAGTGGAGAGTGCTAAGTTCTTGGACCAATCCTCTGGCTCTGGGACACCTGCAGTGCAGTTGATGAGTCAAACTAATTACTGAAGACAACAAGGAAGATTTCAACAAGAAATTTCAGAGAACAAAGAGCACCAAACATTTTCCTACATCTTCTAGCTAGAAAACCATAGGGCTGCTTATAAAATACCCTAGTCTCACAAAAACCACGTTACCTTTCTTTTCATCTACAAATTTACAAAATGTTTTAGGCCAAAAGTTTGTTTTCTGATCATAAATGGCACTTTCGAACACACCATTAATTGGGATATCTTGAATTCCCAGTGAGCTATAAATGGCAATTCTAGGCTAGTATTGGGGATTATCTCCTAAGGATAATGAAAATAAATTTTCCTTTGATATTTTGTATCAGGCTTTAGGATACTAACTGGGGCAAAGCTTCAGACAGGGAGTTTGGCCTCTGTGGGTTTATTTCTAGTTCCTGAAAGTGTCTTTGGCAGTTCATTTTGGACAACTCTACTGAAGCTCATTAAGAATCTACTGAGTGTTTTTGTCTTAGTTTATTCATATATATTTTCTTTTAAGAAAAATTTAGTTTGCATCAATTTTAATAATTTTAAAGTGAATTTAAAACAAACAATACCCAGCTGTCTTCGTTAGAAGTCAAGCTTTAGAACCTGCAGCACTGTTAAGGAAATTGTTTAATTAATAAAAAAAAATTCTCTTATGCAAATATATTGCTAATTATTTAGCAGCTAAACGTGCCAGGAAAACTAGCCTCCCAAGAGAATAATGCTCACTTTGGTAGGTACATTCTGGTATGTTTCCAAATGGATCAATCCCTTACTATCTGTTAGACAGTGAGAATCTATATGTAATAACTGATAACACATTTGTCATTATAGTTTTCTTTGTACTTTTTTTTATTCATTCATTTTATTCATTATTCATTGTGAAATGATCTCAGCAATAAGATCGGCTATCATCCATCACCATACAAAGTAGTTTTGCACCACTTTTTGAATAAACCTCCTAAATATAAATCTGCCTGCGATGTGGGAAACCTGGGTTCAATCTCAGGATTGGGAAGATCCCCTGGAGTAGGGCATAGCAACCCACTCCAATATTCTTGCCTGAAGAATCCCCATGGACAGAGGAGCCTGGCAGGCTGCAGTCCATGGGGTCACAAAGAGTTGGACATGACTGAACGACTAAGCACAGCACAAATATAAAACCATGTCATTCTTAGTAGTACACATAGGATACAAATAGCTAATACCTTCTAAACATATATTGTTATCAGACAACTTAGGATATTTTTTTCCAAAGTGAGCATTTTTGGAATTCTACTTTATTTTTATATATATATATGTATATATACATATATACATATATATATGGAAATCATATTAATAAATCTGTCCTTTGAGAAAAAAATCACAGTGGTTTTCCTTTTGGAAACCAATGCTTAGATCAGTGATATTCAAAGTGGGATCCAAGGACTACTGTGAAGGTCCTTCTCACTAAATAGAAACCTATTAAGTGAGCTACAAAGGTTCATTATTTGCCATTTATAAACCAAAGTTACTGTTAGAAGAATTTTCTAAGGACTTTAATGTAGCATTCTGTTATGAATTCTGACAGGCATGCTATGCTTTACAATGTTGTAAAGTCCTACTGGGTACATCTCTTCAGATAGTTGAAATTCCTAAAGTTTTATAGTAGAATTGTATACTATTATTGTGTACTTCATTATAACTTTTTGTAAATTATAGGATTCACTTGCTGCTTTTATTTTTTTTTACTTTTAATTCTATATTACTGTTGATTTTAATCACCATTAAACTATTTGTTATAAATTGTTTGGACTTTTATAATTGCATTGATTCAGGTTTTAATAAGTACATGAAAAGGATCTCAATATCAATAGTCATCAGAAAAGTGCAAATTTAAATCACAATGGGATAACATTTAGCCCACTAATATGGTTAAGAATAAAAATGTATATATATAAATATAGATTTCCTATAGACACCATAAAGTTGACTGCATTCTTACCACAGTAAAGAAGAACATAATCTTGAGGGATTTTAATAATATCTCAGAAAGAAATGGCAAAATCACGGTATTTGTGAAGACTGGGAGTCTGGTTCAAGGTGTATATTCAGTGCAGGGCTTAAGATTGATAAGGATCATTATAATTTAGGACTGACAGACACAGCAAGATGAAGATTTTAAAGTGTGAGTTACAAAGAGTCCAGGGAAGTAAAGAGTTGTCGTAAGCTCTATATTGAACAGTTGAACAGTTTGGTGTTTATTTAAAGGGGTCTCTTTTATCTTTGGCCACACCACCTGGCATTTCAGATCTTAGTTCCCTGACCAGAGATCGAACTTTCATCCCCTGCACTGGAAGCATGAAATCTTAACCACTGGACTACCAAGGAAATTCCATAATTTTTTTTTTTTTAGGAAGTCCTGGGGGTAAACAAAATTATTTTCATCTTTTCTTTCTCTAGACAAGAGTTTCCTGGAATATTAAACTCATGTTGATAAAGAGCAATAAAGTCTTATTAATGAAGCTAGCCAAATAATAAAAGTCATCATTATAGAGACCATAAGCAGAATGCATGTGGAGGGTTTCAGTTCTCACTGTCTTGTCGTGTAGTCATTCTTCAGCGTGGGCTATAAGAGAGCATCCATTAACATGGTGATGTGGTCAATTCTAACTGTCATCTGATGACTTGTCATGATCATGTATCATGTATCCAGAAATGGTTGTTTTAACTTCCACAATGTCATGTTTTCCTATTCTTTTTGTTGGATGGTCATTTGTTGAATCATTCAGTGGCACAGTGGCCACATAGCAACGTTCAAATAATCTGGAGATCACATATCTGAACACTGCAACCAGGCATACTGAGAGAAGAGTTATGACTAGAGTTTGTAATTCACTTGTCAACCAGAAATCAAGACATCCAAATTAGAATAGATCACACCCTCAAGCCAAAGAGTCTCATACCAGTTTGGTTTATTAGCCAAACAGATTATCTTATGGATTTTTCCCTCTCAAATCTTTTTGGTGATGTTAAAGATACTAAAGGAGTCTGCAAAAAGGAAAGCACAATTCTTCCCCTGAAACAACACATACTCCTCTTAAGCAGTCAGTATTATATCTAAAGAAGTTCTGCTCTGAACCAGCACCTGTCTAATTTCATGAGTTTCTCAAGTAACACTTCTCTAGGTGGCACTTTCCAACTCTTTTGTTAGTTGGTGAACCGTGGCATGTAGTATTCTTCCTACTCCCCAAGCCTATTCTAAAGCACCTGGTGGACTTTTTCTAAAAAGAAAATTAGATGGGCCAAAATGGTCCCTGGGACGAAGACTACCCTGAAGATAGGAATCAGATTACCAATATAACAAGTTCCTGTCCAGTTGGCAAGTAGAAATCAGTGATCCTTTGTACACAAATCCAATACCAGTCATTGGAAGCCAGTAAATAATATGTTTTGGACAATCCACCCTTGTGGATTGTTAAATAGTATTGTAAATTTTGGCATCACTTGTCAAGAATGGTTCAGCATCAGTCAATGAAGTTTACAGTATCAAGACACATAAGCAGATTTAATTCAGAAGAAAAACAGCATTCCTTTCTTAGATCTTTCAAAGTTAGTTGGCCTTCAAATATATACCACTTGTACTGTAATCTTCTTCTCAGTTCTATTTTTTGTGTAAGCTCCATTTCAAAAGTGAGACCCAACAAAAGATCACTGAATGTTGTTTCAGTGGAGACAGGAACCTCCTTTTCTAAGTACAATATGATATGGGGTTTCAGATTTCTCACTGTCTGGTCTGCTGTGGGCTTTTTCAATCTACAATGTTAGTTAACAGTCAAATAGTTAGTTACCCAGGCAACCAATGGATTTATTATAAGGCTTTGGTACCAAGAAAAGCTCGATGGCTCCCAAAGGAATACATGTTTTCTGCTTTAGTTAGTTAGTTATGCTTTAGTGTACTAGTAAGTTGTAGTCATGCACGGGAGCCATACAATGAAGTGACTAAGAAAGCAAACATTAAAATTATGAATAGGGTTCTTCAAAAAACATAGTTAAAGACAGTCTTGGGATTTCCCTGTTGGCCCAGTGGTTAAGACTTTGCCTTCTAATGTGTGGGGAGGGTGCAGGTTCGATCCTTGGGAGCTAGATCCTACATGCTTTGTGGCCAAAAATCAAAAATGTAACACAGAAACAATATTGTAATGAATTCAATAAAAGATTTTAAAAGTGCCATCTGTACATCTGTGTCTCTTTTTCTGTTTTGCATATAGGGTTATCATTACCATCTTTCTAAATTCCATATATATGTGTTAGTATGCTGTAATGTTCTTTATCTTTCTGGCTTACTTCACTCTGTATAATGGGCTCCAGTTTCATCCATCTCATTAGAACTGATTCAAATGAATTCTTTTTAATGGCTGAGTAATATTCCATGGTGTATATGTACCACAGCTTCCTTATCCATTCGTCTGCTGATGGGCATCTAGGTTGCTTCCATGTCCTGGCTATTATAAACAGTGCTGCGATGAACATTGGGGTGCACGTGTCTCTTTCAGATCTGGTTTCCTCGGTGTGTATGCCCAGAAGTGGGATTGCTGGGTCATATGGCAGTTCTATTTCCAGCTTTTTAAGAAATCTCCACACTGTTTTCCATAGTGGCTGTACTAATTTGCATTCCCACCAACAGTGTAAGAGGGTTCCCTTTTCTCCACACCCTCTCCAGCATTTATTGCTTGTAGACTTTTGGATAGCAGCCATCCTGACTGGCGTGTAATGGTACCTCATTGTGGTTTTGATTTGCATTTCTCTGATAATGAGTGATGTTGAGCATCTTTTCATGTGTTTGTTAGCCATCTGTATGTCTTCCTTGGAGAAATGTCTGTTTAGTTCTTTGGCCCATTTTTTGATTGGGTCATTTATTTTTCTGGAGTTGAGCTGGAGGAGTTGCTTGTATATTTTTGAGATTAATCCTTTGTCTGTTGCTTCGTTTGCTATTATTTTCTCCCAATCTGAGGGCTGTCTTTTCACCTTGCTTATAGTTTCCTTTGTTGTGCAAAAGCTTTTAAGTTTCATTAGGTCCCATTTGTTTATTTTTGCTTTTATTTCTAAAATTCTGGGATGTGGGTCATAGAGGATCCTGCTGTGATTTATGTCGGAGAGTGTTTTGCCTATGTTCTCCTCTAGGAGTTTTATAGTTTCTGGTCTTACATTTAGATCTTTAATCCATTTTGAGTTTATTTTTGTGTATGGTGTTAGAAAGTGTTCTAGTTTCATTCTTTTACAGGTGGTTGACCAGTTTTCCCAGCACCACTTGTTAAAGAGGTTGTCTTTTTTCCATTGTATATCCTTGCCTCCTTTGTCGAAGATAAGGTGACCATA